TTCTATAGATCTGGTCCAGAGCCTTGGAATCCACATATTTAACAAATGGCACAGTTAAATCAACTATACTTCAGTGAATGAATACGAATGCCACAGTAAATCTTGATGGTCAGACAGGTTTGGCAAACAGTAGACTGGGATGGAGTCAGAACCCGGCTCCAGCTCCAAATTTGCCTTCTGCCATGTAGTTTCTGGACAGCCTTAGACAAGTTAGTTCTTTGAACCTCAGATCCCTCACGCATTGTTGTCATTGTTCAGTCACTCAGTTGTGTCCGACTCTTTGCGACCCATGGACTGTAAGCCCACCAGGCTCCTCTGTCCATGAAATTCTGCCGGCAAGAATACTGGAGTGGGTTGCCACGCCCATCTCCAGCAGATCTTCCCAACCCAGGGATTGAACCCCGGTCTCCTGCATTGCAGGCAGATTCTTGACCATCTTGAGCCACCAGGGAAGCCCCTCCCTCGTGCATACAATGTAACAAGTTGTATCCACTTCAGAGGGTTGTTGTGAAGGTAAAAATGGAAAAAATTCAAAAAATGTCCTGAAGCATGGCGCCTGCTACATTTTAAGGGCAGAGTAAACATGAGATGTAAACACCTCACACACATATTTTTGACTTGGCCATCAGCTGGCCCCTTCAGAGTCAGCAGGCTGGCCTAGGACATGGTATCAGTGTGACCAGACAGTGTGCTGGAACTTGAACCTTACTGCAAGGAGACCGCACATCTGGAGGAGATAAGGACTTTAAACTGAATACTCTCCCGTGATGGTGATCATAGTGTGATAGAGAAAAAAGGACAGAAAGGCAGAAGTGGGTTTGGAAAGAGCTTTAGAGGTTGAAATCTGAGAGGGGAAATTTCTGAAATATGCTCAAGGATAACTAGACTTCCAAATGGCAGGAAAAATGGTCAAGCTAACTTGAGATTTACAAGGAGAGATGTAGTTTGCTGAGAATAAACTATTTTTCTTTGATCCCCTTTTAGACCAAAAGCCAAAGTTTAAAGCATTTATAATTCATGTACCTCCTTTGTTTAGCAAGCTGTATTTTTCTACTAGGTGCTGCACCCTGCACTCCTAACAGAGGTTACAAAGATAAAAGCAACACCCATCTCAAGAAACTTACTGTGTGTCAAAGGGCACAGGAAAAGAAGCAGTTACTGCAAAGGGCATAAGAGTTGTCTCTAGGGCTGCTGGGTGAAGGACAACTTACTTACTGCCCAAGGGAGACTTCAGTGGAAGTCTTTTTATTTCCAGCTTTACTGAGATAAAATTAACATAAGATATTGTGCAAGTGTGTGTCTAATACGACGGTTTGATATATGTGTATACTACAAAGTGATTATTGCAATCAGAGGAAGTCTTGAAAAGATTTCATGACAGTTACATCAGCATTATCTTTATAGTAATCATAAGCTAATAATGATGACAATAGCTGACATCAACCAATGCTTATTTTATGGCAGATGCCCTATGAGGCCCTCTGTGCTCTCCTGCTATGGTGTAAAATGGTTGCCATATGCTGTATCTTGATTTACTTACTTGTGTTTGCACTATTCATGGCTGATTCCAAATGCCACTGCTGCACAACGGGTAAAGTGCAATCCTCAGCAGAATGTTAATTCTCCCATACTAACTTTCCTACTGATACAATAGGGAAGTCACCAACTTACAAGAACTGAAAATGACTGCATTGAGTCCCAGGTAGATTCCCATTCTCAATGCCACTGATCTCATTTCTTCAGGGTCCCACTGCCTGTGTCCAGCCTGCACAGGAAGACCTAAATAAATGGAGCAGATCCTGCTGCACTTAGGACTGAATCATGTCTTCATACGTGCAAAGCCTTAAGCTCACAAAGTCTGCTTGTGATCGTCACATTCTTTTACAACAAAGAATTGTGCTGAGTTCTTTGTTGTAAAAGAAGAGCCCTTACTTTCAGGGTGCGTGCATGCGTGGATGTTAAGTCACTTCAGTCGTGTCTGACTCAGTGCAACCCTGTGGACTGTAGCCTGCTGGGCTCCTCTGTCCATGGGATTTCTCAGGTAAGAATACTGGAGTGGGTTGCCATGCTCTCCTCCTCTACTTTCAGGGTAGTGGTAGCAACAATAACAGTGACAATAATAAAAACAATATCTAACTCTAAGCACTTACTATATTGCATATTTAATATATTGCATTGTATTAAATACATTGACTTAAACCTCACTTGTGTAGATACTGCAACTGGCTCCATTTTACAGACAGAGAAACTGAGATCCAATTGTGTGCCATGGTTGGGAAGTTGAGCACACAGTTGGACATAAGTAGGAAAGTATAGATTGCAGTTTGTTCTTAAGCAGGTTCACCATGAGAAGCTCCGCCTCAAGGCCCCGCAAAGGAGTAGTTCTCCAGTGTTGGCAGGATCACAGTTAAGTTCTTTGGAAAGACCATCCTAACATGACCTCTCCCCACTCCATACATCCCCGGTCAGCTGTGCCCTACCCATTCCTGACAGATTGTGACTCACGTGCCCCGGTCATGTCTTACACCTTTCTTTATTCAGTGCTTCCCTTGGCACCAACTGCCTTATCCTTTGCTTTTCATTTGCTTAGTTATCCCAAATTCAGCACCCATCCAAGGGGTCACCTTCCCCAGGAACCTTGTCCTGACTTGTTAAAGGACACTGCATTGTTCCTCCAATGCCGACCACTCCTTACTTTATATATCCCTGCCCAAAAACTGTGGGCTCACCGAGGCCAAGGACTGTAGCTAATTCATTTTATAATGCCAGGATTTAAAAGCCCCCATAGGATATACTAGAGCAGTGCTTCTCTTATTATTGCCACCCTCCACTTGTTTTCCTCTATTACTCAGCACTTCTAGACAATGAGGACAGCTGGGACGCTAAAATTGACCACTGAGGATGATACCTCCATTTGCTAAGATGTCACTGTTTTGTTCATGGTTCTCAACTTTGTAATCAGGGCCCTCTTGGTGCTGGCGTAAATCTGTGGTTCTTCCCCAAGGATGCCATTTGTTCCTTTTATGCCTTGATTCACCATATTCTGTGGAGGCTGTTAGCTGAGTAAGACTATCTGATTCATGAAGATGTTACCAAAGACACCATAAAGAGGAAGGCACCAGACCTCTGTCTGCAAAGAAAGCAAAAGAGTCGAGGGTGGCCAGCGCTGCCCAAGCATTTCCGGGCCTGAGGTTTGGCTCTGTGGGCTCCCCTGGAGCCTCATAACTGACCCCCCACTTTCTGTATCAGTCATCATTCTGGAGAAATTCATCAACTTTCCTGCTGGTCTGAGCCTAGAAACTGGTGTCTTTTTACTCGGAGACAAACTCACTGGATAATTTTGGCCAAAATAACACAGATGATTGTGTGTCTGTCATTGCTGATTGACTTAATTTTCCTCTTTTTTTGGACTCTTTTTAAACATTCTCAAGGAATACATAGTTGTCAGTGAAAGAAGTCATTCACAGTTGAAAGTTATATAAACTTGCCCAACCTTGACTAAAAATAATGTGCTAGTGCCCAATTTAGGGGCAAGGTGTAATAAAGTGTTCTCTGATTTGTAGCAAGGAATTAAAGGTGGGGGTTGGGGTCTAGATAATGATAATAACAAAGACTGAGGGTATCAAGGCAGTGAGTAGACTTGAGGGGATTTTCATAAAGTGCAATTTTCCTTTCTGGTCACGTTAAAATCCATGTGTAGTACATTATCTACTCCAGGGAAACATGTATTCTATTTGCTTTCTGTCATAATTCTTTATTGCATTTGGGAGTAAATGAACTTCTGCAGATAAAGTTAATATTAAAATTTAGAGAGAGAATGAAAAATCCTTTTGGAGCTAAAAGTCATACAGAATTTAAAATATTATTTGCCAAAGGCCCCCAAACCTAACTTCACTTGGAAAATGCATATCATTTGATATGCCCAGGCTTTGAAAACTTTTGGGGGTTAGAATTCTGCAGCATTTGATGAGAGGATCTTAATTTCCTCTGTTAGCTTCTATATTCTGAGCTCCAGACCCGAACGGTGCTACCTACTGGTTGGCCAGGTGGGAGAAGTTAGTGAAAAAACACATTGAAAAGTGGCTCAGGACAGATGGACAGGATTCACCCGTTCTGAAATTCAGGGGGATAGATGTGGGCCAGTTCACTGTCCCTGCATCTTCATTTTCTTCCTTTTCCTTTTTTTCACATCAGAAAATGATTTCTAGCACTGTTACTGTGGGTTTCTATTGAGCACCAACAGCATTAGCAGTTTCGCTGCTTTGAGGTAGTGCTCTGTGTTTGTTGGGCACCTGGGTCACACCGCCTCTCTAGCAACCCAGGGATAACCTGGCAGGATGAGAAGAATCTTACCGATACCCCCTTCTCCACCAAAACCAGACAGCAGTTACAATATGTTTGCAGTTAACCCAGTTCAACAGTTCAGTGATAGCTACATTGATCATGTTCCATTTCTCCTGTTTTTCATGTAACCTAATTCTAGTATCAGTTCCATTAGAACTCCTTTATGACCGAAGACTCATTGCCCATCTTGTGTCCTGAAGTTCTGTCTCTCCCTCTTGTCCAGTTTTTCACTTCCCTTCATTCTTTCCCTACTCCCGGGGTTGCTCACATGTTTATTACTAAGAATAAATGTGTTTGACTGAACTGTTTTTAATACTGTTTTTAAAAAGAATTTATGTTCCCCTTGTTTTCACAAGCAAGACTTAAGTTTGGACCCAAATGATGTAGGAAGGCTATTCTTCATCCTTCCTGACTGTGTCCAGGCATGATACCAGAGACAACTGAGCAAAAGGTTTCCATTTGCTCTGAATATTTAGGAGTTCCTTTCAGAGGATAGGTGCAATTTTAGTTTCGAAAAGAAAGAAAAAAGGAGAGAATTTTTGTGAGGTTGGGCCAGGTCACATGTTGACATTTGAAAATGAGGATGTAACAAGGTCACATCAGACCATTTTTTACAGGGGTGACTAATGGTTTTTTTCCCCCTTTTTCTCTTTCAGCCACACCAGCATTCTTTGTCAGAGCATCTCAAAGTCTGCAGATACTATACCCAGTCCTAGAGACAAGTAAGAATTTCAGTCCTTTTTCTGCCTTTGGCAATACTGTCCAGATTTTACTACAATTCAAGCTACTGTCCTTACTCTGTTTTATTTAGGATATGGACCTGGATGAACTAATAACTGAAATTGTAGGGGCAAACTAAAAAAATATTATTTTTCAGAATTTATCAACTTCTCCACAAGGCTGCTGCTTTTTTGTTTTTCTTTTAACTGAGTGAAAGACTCTTTAAATTCTGTAATGCTTTACAATTTTCAAAAGTTTCACACACATGATATACCATATAATCACATAATAACCCTTTTTTCCCCCTTCCTTCTCCCTACTGGTAAGCACGACTATGTTCTCCATATCTGTGAATCTGCTGCTTTTTTGTTTTGTTTTTCATTAGTTTGTTATGTTTTTTAGATTGCACATATAAGTGACATCATATAGTACCCATCTTTCTGTGTCTGACTTATTTCACTAAGAATAATGCCCCCCAGGTCCATCCATGCTGCTGCAGATGGCAAAATTCCATTTTTTATAGCTGAGTAGTAGTCCATTACATGTATATACCACATCTTCTTTATCCATTCATCTGTTGATGCAACTTACATTGCTTCCATATCTCAGCAATTATAAATAGTGCTGCTATGAGCATTGGGATAAATGTATCTTTTTGAATTAGTGTTTTTGTTTTGGGACGATATATACTCAGGCATGGAATTGCTAGGTCATGTGGTAGTTCTGTTTTTTTATTTTAGAAACCCCCGTACTGTTTTCCATGGTGGCTACTCCAGTTTACACTCCCACCAACAGTGTATAAGGCTTCTGTTCTTTCCACATCTTTGCTAACATGGTTATTTGTATTCTTTTTGATGATAGCCATTCTGCCAGGTGTGAGATGATATCTCATTGTGGTTTTGCTTTGTATTTTCCGGATGATTACCAATGTTGAGCATCTTTTCATGTGCCTGTTGGCCATCTTCATGTCCTCTTTGGGGAAAAAAAAAGACTGCTTCTTTATTTCTCTCATACAGTTAGCCTTATAGGTTGTTGTTGTTTAGTTGCTAAGTCATGTCCAACTCTTTTGCAAACCCATGGACTGTAGCCCACCAGGCTCCTCTGTCCACAGGATTTCCCAGGCAAGAATACTGGAGTCGGTAGCCATTTCCTTCTCCAGGGGATCTTCCCCACCCAGGGATCGAACCTGTGTCCCCTGCATTAGCAGGCAAATTCTTTACTGCTGGGCCACCTGGGAAGCCCAGCCTTGAGGTTAAGTAAGACCAACTTAATGCAAAGAAAAGAAAAAAGAAAGAATTTATTGTGGGCCAGCAAGTAGATTACTGAGTTTAGGAATCTTTCTTTTTACAAGTTCTATATCATTATTGTCATTATTACTTTGAGATATTTCTTTACCTAATGATCACATTAACAGACCATTAAATTTGTCCCTTTAACCAAATCGCCTTGGACTCTGAAATTCTGTCTTCATACAAGCTGTCTCTTCTCCTTAACATGACTTGCGCATCCCCCTCTTGTCCTGTGACAATCTTTTCTTTTATCTTCAAGACTGAACTAAAACATCTGCTCTCTTGGGAACACCTCTCCAAATCCTTTAGCACAGAAAACCTGTTCTGCGTCTGTGCGTCCATGGAACTTTGCTTACTGCTCTGTGATAACATTTATCCTCACAACATCGCCATGTATGTGATCACACTGTGCACAGGACTCAATAAGTTGTGTGGGCTTCAAGAATTAATTATGTTGCAGTCAATTAAGGCAAAGCCCATATTTTCTGCTTCTTCTAAATCCCTCACATGCCCTAAGAACAATCCTAATTACCTAGTAGGTGGTGGTCTTGTTTAGTCACCAAGTCATGTCCAACTCTTTTGCGACCCTGTAGATGGGGACCCACCAGACTCTTCTGTCCATGAGATTTCCCAGGCAAGAATACTGGAGTGGGTTGCCATTTCCTTCTCCAGGGGATTCTCCCAACCTGGGGATTGAACTCCCGTCTCTGCATTAGCAGGCAGATTCTTTACCACTGAACCACCTGGGAAACCGCACATAGTAGGTACCTTTAATTAAATTCTATGGATGGATTTTCTCTTCCTCAATTGAAGTATATGCTCAAGTCCACATTACACAATAAAGAAAGGGAAGACACTGTACCTGACTGTTTAAGCCATTGCTGTTTCATGGGTCGTTCCAGCGTCATGAAACCATAATTGGGGTTTTATGACTAAATTGCAGGCTACGTTTCTAATATGCGATGTAAACATCATTTTTCTTGGAGGTCACTCAAAGGGAGGGTTGGTGCTGTTTTTAACAAACGTCATCAATGTGTCAGTTGTGCCAGACCACAGACTCGTTACAACCCTCCTATTTTAGAAGCATCTGACATGTTAATCTGCTCCCTAATTAATGTGAGGGGCTGTAAAAGGGCTAGCTGTTAGTTATGTTTGCCTTATCCCAGCAAGTATATTCCAGAGCCTTCACTCAGAAAATAATGTGACTTATTGCTGCTTTCTGTAAGGAAATGAGAAGGAATGAGTTAAGAATGTTTTACTAATTGGTGCATGCTCTCTCCAACACTGAAACCCTCGCCCACACACAGATATAATACACTGCCCTTCACTTCCCCCAAAGTGGTGGTAGAATTTCCCCAAGCCATTTTCTTTGTCCTGTCATAGGGTCTGAGGAGCTTAAGCTTTGGGCTTTGTTGAAAGACAGCCTCTGAGTATGGCAGATATGTTGAAGAAATTGCTGCCACTTATTTTGCATATGTTGATGTTTTTGTGATAAGCAAGAACAATAGCTACTTCCCTTCATCCATAAAAGTGTTAACCGATCAGTCATGTCCAACTCTGATCATGGAACTCAGCTCAGAGCTCTGTGGTAACCTGGATGGATAGGATGCCGGGTGGAGGAGCAGGGGCTGGGTAGGAGGAAAGTCCAACAGGGACAGGGGGATATATGTATGCATATAGCTGAGCAAATTCACTGTACAGCAGAAAATAACACAACACTGTAAACCAATATTACTCCAGTTAAGAAAAAAACTATTGTTCATGATCTGTCAGTTTAACAATTATAATGTATACATTTTCTATGTGCACTTTTCTGAATTCTTAGATTCAAAGCAAAACCCCATGGAAGAAAAATAAATAAACCCTCTTAGAGTGAATCCTAGACAGAACTATCCAAACATAAAGAAATGCCACCACCCTTCTGCAGGCCACCTCGACTTTACACTAAGGGGTCACAATAACCCCTTAATAACTGTCTTCCTCCTTCCACCCTCTTCCCACCTCTCCTTCCTTGTATCCATCTTCCTTTGCCAATAAAGATGTTCAGAATCCAACATATCCCTCTGCTCTAAATTACCTTAACTGTCTCTAGTACCCTCCCCACTACCTAAATTTTAAACTGCAAACCTATTCCAAGACACTCAAACCCACCATCTGTCGTCTGACCTCAATTCTAAGTCTAGACAAGTCATTCCTCCCCAGGAACACTGTGCTTTCCCTCCTCTGCGATGTTGTTCATGCCATTCCATCTTCCAAAACTGTCCTCCTCCTGCCATTCTGGAAATATATATCCTGCCCATACGTTAAGGTTCAGCCAAAACACTGTAACCCTTGGCCTGGAGCAATCCCTCCTTCCTCCATGTATGTCTTTGAAGGAGGTCATGTGATTCCTTATCACTCTGAAGTAATATGTTAAACACTGCTTTGGAGTATAGTTGCATATTTCTCTTATCTCCCTATGTGGATCATGAACAGCTGTGTTTTATTCAGAGTTGTATAGTTCACAGTACCTCAAATGATACCTTGAACACAGTAAGTAATAAATGATATTGCAAATAAAATAACTAAATGGAAGTATCCGTAATAGCTCCCTGACTACCCACCCTTCTGCACACTTAACAATTCTCACCAGCAACACCCTCCCATGCCTTGTTATCATGGAACCTCTTGGCTTACTGCAGGGTGGGGGGCATTCACAAAGGATCAGATCTCGCCACCTGTACTAACTGCACATTGACCACATTCAGGGTTCTGTTGCTAAAAGAATCATAGAAATCAAATGGTGTATACTCAGATGACAGCTTTCTGACAGGCGAGAGATATAGTACAGCAACAGTAGATGGGAAAGTGCACTCACCAGGATCTGCAGAACCCAAGTTTGGGCCTTCTTGTCCTCTCACTTCCCAGTCACAACAGTCACCCTTTGTCTCCAGGTCTGGGACCACTACTGATAATCCTGCCAAGCACCTCGATACCAGGAAGCCCAAAGTCTGCTCATGACAGAGTTTCCTAGAGTGAGCTGGTCATGTAGGTGCACCCTAGCTATGTAGACAGCCTTAACTGTCAGGCCCCCGGTTCCAGTGAACTTAGGTGCAAATCATAAATCTAATTCTATTGCTAAGCAACATCAACAAGCTGACATATCTTGCCCTGAAACAATTTGAGGACCCATGACTAGAGCATATCATTCATCTTTAGTTAGCATGATCCATACACAGCATTGCCAAACAATACTCTGGGGGAAAAGCATGTGGTCAAACCAGACCAGCTAAGATTAACCCACGCAATGCACCACCTAAAGAATCGTCCATTGCACTCATCTCTTTCTTCTCTTGCTCATCAGAAAGTGGCCCATCTTCTAAGCCCTCAGGGCTCTGCTCTCTGTGTGGGTACGGGACCTAATCCATGTGAATGGGTGTTTGTGCAGTCTTGGGCACATACTAACATACCTTCCGCAGAGTACAGGCTTGAGAAATATTTTCTGCAAACAAAGAACTATTTTTAAAAGTCCCATGAGACGTTTTCAGCCCACACACATGGGGAGCAGTGTAATTCACCAATCCAGAGATATAAATATGAGCAAAAACACACATAGAGGCTAAGAACGGGTTTGGAGGAGTTTACGGTTGAAAGAGATAGACATCTTTGTATACTTGAAAGAAGTAATGGCACAAACTTACTACAAAGAAATCTGCTTTCAGTTGTCGGGGAGA